TATATGAATTGACAGTTGCAGCAGTCCAATAGCTAGCGATGGAGCGCAGTCGTAATGCCGCGATAGGATCGCTCGCATCGCGAAGTATGAAAGGCGGCCAAATGCAATAATATTTGCAGCTATCCGAATGAATGCTGTACTAAAATAAAGTACATTACCTGCATGATACTGCGCTATTGTTGAATTAGGATGAATCAAACTGAAAGGTTTCATGCGAGTATGTACAAACATTTCTTGGCCATGCTGAAAACAGGAATCATGAAAGCACAAAGCACAGCAGGATTCCCAGATCCTTCAATAAGCGAACGTACCTGATACTTGTTCAAAGGATCTGGGACTGTGTAATTAGGATACAAGCCAGCAGCAATGATGATGCGAATGACCTTGAAAAAGATACGTCAAAATCCTTTCAGCTGTGCTCTTGACAACGTACCTCTGCATCTTTTCGACGCAATTTATGGCTTCGTCGAATTTTTTCCACATCTCTTTGCTTGTAGCTCAACAAGAACTCGACAGTTTTGACGTCAGCCTTCATAGGATCCTTTTCATTCTCTAGAAAACAGAGTTTGAGACTGCGAATATTGCCAAGCGTTGATAATGTCATACCGAGATCCTCTTCCTCCATGTCATTGAGTATTGAGTCGAAATGCTTGTCTGCTCGTAATACTTTCCTTGTTTTCTCCTGATTTCTGGGAAGAGAAAAGGTGCTTTTTTATTTTCCGCTTTTTGGAGGGTCATAGTCCAGTGATTTACCTGGCATCACGCTTCAAGTCCAGTAACTTCTTCCTGTCCCCTTGGTCGATTCTCCTTTGTCGTGAATCATCTTCTCCCAGCTCATGTGCATCTGGCTTTTCAATTAGCCCAGCGTCTTCAAGGATCTGCCTAGTAACCCTCATTGAATGAATACAGGAAAATGGGAAAAATTGGTTGTTTTCCCTAACACTATTACAGTGGAACCGGCAAGAGAGGCTCTGCTCTGCCGGACGGCCAGTCACACGCCTAACCATAGCCGGACGCTACTTGTCTACGCTCTTTCACCTCTGGTTATTCACTGAAGGCGCTGTGGGGCCCTCGTTGCCGACGCGAGCGCTGCACGTGGAGGATACCGTGGGAGGAGCATGGAGACGGCATCCGGGTCTTACTAATATCCAAAACCTTTCCGTGCACTTTTACCCGGAGAAGAAGGCATGTTACTGCAGGTGCGAGTCCACTCACCCCACGCACGGTAAGGACCAGGACCCAATGGTGTAAGAGCATGGTTTGTCTTCAACCTTTCACAAAGCATACCTGTATTGGAACCTCAGCTTACTTATTTCATACATTCTGTGTTCATCGATGCCATTTTCTAGCGCCCAACGACGAACTTTGCCAGTGGTTGATTTTTGCAGCATCCACTCTCTGAAAAGTAATTGGTTGCAACAGTAAGCGAGATGTGGATTGCATAAGGACAGTGAACATCGCTTAGAGCCCATATTAAAAACTCTCAAGGCCTTTGAAAGGTCTTTGCGAGTAAAGATGATAAAACAAAGATAATCTTTTTGGTCCCAAAGAGCTTATTCTATATGTCGGACGACGGCATGAGGACTGGGAACAGAAGTATCCAACAAGGTAGAGAGGTAGAGAGTACTATGGCGCCACAGCAGTTGAAAGGGGCCGCGCGGGCGACGAAATTCTCTCGTCTGATCCCGAGACGTTCTCTTCTAAGGATGACCTTATAAAGGAGAAGGGTTCACTTCGACGCGTGGCTACCCCCAACTATTATGAACACAGAGGAAATGCTGCGTCAGTGGACTGACCTGAATATTTCTATAAGAGTGAACGGATCACCCATAGAACTCGTTAAACTTTCTCTTCTCTGAACAACGTCAAGTTCTCTGAAATAGTAGATAAGACTCAGTGATTCTTTATGTTTCAATGAGAACTGTCGAAGTAATCTCTGAAGTTTACCGATAAGACCGATTTGTGAATGGACTCTGTACAGATAAGCCGGCAGCAACTGTAAGAATCACTTCCACGTGATCCACTACGCAGCCCAAAACCAGCATCTGAAATTAGTGGCTCAGAAGAGGGTTTTCCCATAAGGAAGAACATACGATGCCCTTATATTATCTGGGGATACCTTGGCAATCGCCACGTCTACTGGTAGTTTGGCAATCGTATTTCCCAAAGCTGTGAGCTGGTTGTCACGGTCCGGATATAAGACTCCCTAAAAAAACATCTAAGGATAAGCTGCACAAAAAAATGTCCAAGCTTCAGTGAAGTAAGGAAAAATAAAAACAATCAAACTACCTGAAACTTGAGGATGTTCAGTGCCTCTTCCAATTTCTCCTCTTCAGGTCTCTCAATGAAGGGAAACGTTCGTGGGTCCACTGAAATGCAAATAGCGTACAATTTATAACTGTGGATCCATTGGAGAAAATCTCCGAAATCCTGCATTACCAACTAGAGCTACAAGGAACAGGGTGTCTAGCGTAGAGAAATCACAACAAGGGGAATAGGGGGTCACATTTGAGTCGCTGGGCAGAGATCGTCGTATTGTCTGCTGATTTGCTGACGTATTCATCAAAGGAGGGATCCTTACCGTGTTTCGCAAGGGAAGCGAGAGAAGCTGGGCTTGGCGGGTGGATTGGGAGAGAGGAGGGCGAACCCTGCTTGACAAAACCCCTCGAGAATTCTAACTGACTTCGCATGAAAATTCTCGAAGGATCTAGATCGCCAGTCAAGCTTGAGTAGAAAACCATAAAGTGAAAATACCCTATTTTATCGGGATAAATTCGGCAAGGCCTATTCGCAAGGACACGATAATACGCGCGAAGGGTTTCTGAGCAGAGCGACAGATTTTCTTCGGCATTTTTGAAGATTCTAGTCATTGATGAGAACACACAAAGAATACTCTTTGAGGCGAATGTGCGCCTTATACTACAGAAGATAGGGTAAACTTAGTTCTTACTGCTCCACCCGGAGAAAGTAGATTCTCATGAGGAACAAAAAGAATCCGCCATTGGTATCACTTTTTCACATTACTGACGAAAGCCCTCCTCTCCCCCTCCATTCATCTGTTCAAAGTGAATGGAGTGAGTTGGTTGGTAAAGTGAACTAGTAACGTACACCCAAGATTCAGACTTATCATCCGGAGAGCCATCTCTTGCAAGGATACCCGCTTGATTTCCGATGATGTGAAGTCGTCCATCTTATTGTATTGCTCCTCTGAATACAGGCGGTAACATATACCCGGTCCTGTACGTCCAGCTCGGCCTGCAAAACTGGAATAATAATGCCGATACAGAGACGAGATCGGAATTCGAGTTGGTAATGAAACTGAAAAGACCTGTAGGTCGGTCAAGAAGAATATCCAGCATAAAATGCTAAATGACACAGCAAGAATAATTAACAATGGTGTCAAAGAAAAAGTAGTACCTTTTCGCTGGTCAGCCGAAGCCTTTGAAACCCAGAATTCACTCAGCTCCAGTTTCGCTGGTTTGATTAAATTAACCTGAAGAGGCTTTAGTACTCTAGTTCGTTGCGGATATGAAGGGGGTGTCAGGAGTAGAAGGTGCGAGGGCGCCAAAATAGTTCTCTGACAGTTGTTGGAGTGGATATGGGACAACAAATGGTAGAAAACGGGTGTTACGAATGACAATGATAGTCTGGTCACTTGCTCACTTCAACAACTGGTGGAAAACGAGTTGGGCACTGCGCCAAATCCCTCCTGACACGCCCCTTCGTCCGCAGCGAACTGGACTATAAGAGACTACATTTGTAAGCGAAAAAAGAGCGTACCTTTCCGGAATCTATCACAAAGCGTATCCCATCAATAGTCACTGAGGTTTCAGCAATATTTGTTGAAAGTATACATTTTCTTACACCTGACGGGGCAACGTCAAACACCTTATCCTGTTCATCCACTGACAAGGTACTCAAATAATAAAATAATTGAGACATTCAAGAAATACAAGATCAAGCGGCAAGAACAGCGCTAACCTGTGCAACATAAGAATAATCCAACCCTTTGTGAGCTCAGCGTACGTCTTCAAAGCTTCGGCAACCGTAGTGATTTCAGCCACACCATTCAAGAATACTAAAGCATCCCCTCGTTCCGTAGAAGGGAACTGTTTGTCAATGAGCTGAACATAATCTTATCAAATTGCATGGGTTTAACGATCGAATAAGGCTGGACCTACTTCAAGAATTCTGACGTACGGCTCCGGGTCAATCTTATGACTCTTCTTCTCATTTTCAGGGATATACTGCTTGATTGGATGATATCGAAGTTGAATAGGGAAAAGACGCCCAGGAACCTAAATTGTTGAAAACAGTTTCAGTAAAAAATCATTAGGTTGGCAGGAAAGTTGTCACGTTTTTCAAATTAGGCTCTTTTTATAGAGAGGCGTGTAAGATCAAAATTGTACAGCAATGTTACTGCGGGGTTCTTGCCAGTTTTTGAGCACCTCATGGATGCCATCGCTTCACAATGCAGGGAGGCGCGACGCAAAGTTGGACACCATCTCAATCTTGACTTGAACTCGGGTTATGGAGGTTTTCTCGTCCACATAACGATTGAGTACGGGAGGCAACTGCAGTTAGAAGGAGCAATGTCTGTGCTACACCAGTGCAAGGGGAGAGCCATCCAGCTCTATTGCATGAGGTACGGCTCGAACTTTTTTGGACGGAGTAGGCTGCACTGTCACGTTGAAGACGGACTGTGCGGAAAATTTTTCCCTCTGATCGACGGTTCGCTTCAGATCTCGTAGCTGCTTTGCGTACGCATTGACCGAGGAAGCAGCTTCTTCATCCAGCACTTTCACGACCCGCAGCTCCCTCAATCTGAGTTCACAGGTAACCCAAACCTCACTTCGTCATCAACGCAGTCTTCACAGTAGCCCCATTCTCATTTCGTCATTCAAAACTCTAGCCTCTCGTTTTTGAACTGAGGGCATCGTCCTTATTCAGCTCCATTATTTTGGCATCTGCAGCTATCATGCTGGCGTCAGGGTGGTGGAAGAAAGAGTTTGAGGAAGCGTCTGGAGGGGTCGGTGCCGATGGTAGCGGATAAAATCCTTGTCCATATTGCAGAAGAAGAAGAAGCAGGAGTCAAGCGAGTGGTACTAATAGAAAGACCACTCCTTGATGTATAAGTGCTCACATTACCGGTTAGCCCTCTTCAGGTAATAGGCGAATACTTGGGTTCAAAAAAGTATGACAGAACTTTCCCGCCAACCTAATAGTATCCATATAACAGGCATTTTTGATAATGTATCCCATTTATTTGAGAAACAGGACTTGCACGAGCGGCTCAATGTTAGGATGAATGAAGAAGATGATGATGATGATTTACTACCTATTATGGAGCTCCCAGAGAGATGGTCAAAAGGAATGGTAGAACGAGTCGAAAGAGAATGTTTGTAATCAATCACGAAGTATGTGTTTGGCATCCAAATAGAACATCAGATACAAGAATAGCCATTCCCATGAACTAGTGGTTCTTCAGAACTTACACTGATCCCAAATTAAAGATAAATGAGACCAATAAATAAATAGAGCTTTCGGAACCTCTCAATCCTTTTAAGGATACGAAACGCAATCCATTCCGATCAAAAGTCTCTAGGTCTGAATTCATTTTGACTTATACAGCGAATTGTTGGGAAGCCAACCGGTACATGGAGCAAGCATCTTTGTTCCCCATGCAATGAAAGATTGGACCTATACCGCGATCAGCCGCCCTGAGCAGATAGAAAACTTTGCTGGCCCGGACGAGAGGTGATCGTGGACATACGTGGACCGGGCGCGGTATACGGCGCCGCGGCTACACCGCTTTCCACCGGGCATTAGAAAAAACTAGATACCTGGATGACAGGAGCTCCTTCAAAGTAATCCTTGAAAAGTTCCAAGTTGATGGTTGCAGACATGAGAATCAGCTTCAAATCATCTCTCTTTCCAATTCAGATCGCGAAGAAGTCCAATGAGTAAGTCACTGCTCAGATGACGCTCATGCACTTCATCAAGTATTACTACCTGAAAACGACCTAGAATTGAACATTTCAGAACTACCATCTACCTCATAATAGGAATAGCGGTAAAGACAAGATCAGCTCACGTTATACTGTTGGAGGAGAGAATCATTTTCCATCTGACGGAGCAACAAGCCTTCGGTCAGGAACAGCATTTTCGTTCGTTTTGGATTTCGTAGTTTCAAACCTAACAAAATCGCTGGTATGTGACTCGGGAAAGTGAAGTAAAATAAACTCAAGGTAAAATAGAAAGACACGAGTTCCAATTTGCAAATGTTATTGGCCCACCTTATTTGATATGCCACTTCACTTCCATAGGCATTAAGGGTTTCATAAGCAACTCGACGTGCTAATGCGGTACAAGCGATTCGACGTGGTTGTGTACAAGCTATACCAACGTAACCATTTTGAAGTAAATATTGGGGAACCTAAATCTATAACAATTAACAATGAAAAATGTAGGCTAGCTATGGAGCTCATTCCTAATTTCATGTGACCATGACATGAATGACCCAATACGTTCACAGTTCGCGACTTCAGCGATTCAAAGGTGCGATATGATAATCGCGAGACCATGACGGATCGCGCCGCTACTCGTTATACCGTCGCAACTGCACATCTAATCTATTTCAGAAAACGACCGTCAGCATCCATAAATTATCGATGAAGCGCGGTCGAACGCTGTCGCGCAGCTGAGTCGCGAAGTATGAAACTGATAAATGAAAAGAAGTGATTGAAGTAGCTGCTGCTTCACATAGTGGTTCGAAACA